ATTCAAGCGTGGTAGTGTGATTTCTTTATGTTTGACTGGAAAACCACATGTGGCTATCGTTAGAGCACCCCAGCATTTTAATGTGAATAAATCTTTTGTGTCTCACACCATCGCTCGTTACCGTGATACTGGTAGCGTAGCTCGACGTCAAGGAAGTGGACGAAAGAAAACAGCAACATCAACAGAAATGGTTCGAAAAGTAAAGAAGCGACTTTATCGAAACCCGCATCGCAGTGGCCGAAAAATGGCTCGTGAGCTGAACATATCGCAACATTCCATTCGGCAAATATTGAAAAATGAGCGCGGGGTAAAGCCATTAAGTGCAAGCCAAAAAGTGCAAGACTTTACACCGCAACAGAAAGAAAATGCACTCAAAAGAGCTAAATAGTTGCTTCGCTTGGCCGAAAGTGATGAACTGCCGAATTTGGTTTCCTCCGATGAGAAAACTTTTGTTGTCCAGCATTTTGTAAACAAACAAAATGATCGTGTTTACTTGCCAAAGAGGTCAGCTGAAAATGTGCACCTTCGGTCGGCCACCAGAACTCAAGCGCCAGCCATGGTGATGGTGTGGGCCGCCGTTTGAAGGCCATAATTCGTGCCAAAGATCACTAATTCGAAAAAATCTAAACTTATTCTAAAATTTGATGCTATTTTTGATATTTTTTGCTTCCACTCAATAAAATTAAAAAAAAACAAGTAAGCAAAGGCTACAGTCGAGCGGGGCCGACCGTTGAATACCCTACAACACTATAATAAACGATACAGTTTATATAGGCGAGATACTCGAAAGAATTCCACAAGATATTGTGACAAATTATAAAAGAAAACCATCAGGTTCCGTTCTCTAATTTTCGAATAATAGCAACTTAAACTAATTTGCTTATTTCCAATTTATTGGTAGATGTTGCACGTAAATGGTCTTCCTAGATCTGGAACCAATATTTCCCAAAGACCTATAATCTCTCAGAAGTGGCAAAAGATTAACATTTATTATTGGTTTTTGACTGAAACGCATCTATATGAGATACAGACATTTGACTATATTCTTCAACGAAATCAGCGTTAACGAAATAACCAGAAGTGAGTCTTTCCTGTATTTGTGAATTCTCTAAAAAGTCACTGGAATGGACATTTTCGTATTTTGTCTACAAAAGTTGGCAAACTATTTCGCACATTGAATATTTTTGGATGGCCATCCAAAACTGCTTGGCTCTTGCAATGTCCGGTAACCCCCATTCAAATGTGCGTGAGAGTCGGGCGATAATTACGACCTGCTGACAATTTTGCAGTTTTTTGGTCCATTTCAACCCCTAAATATATGGCGATCATCTCCAAAAAGTGTAGGCTTCTATTCTGACCCTCATCTGATCCCCATGCAAAATTTCGTTAGGATCGGGCCATAAATGCGATCTGTATATGATATCCTGATATCCTAACTACTTAGTTTTGTTAGCTGTAGAAATCTTACCAAATGTTTAATTCAAAATGAAAATATGCCAAAAATATGACAAAATTGAAAAAATAAGAGAAAATTTTACAAAATCAATATTTTCATCTTTAGAGGGATATTTTTATGCGATTTTTTTAGACGTTTTTACTTTCCTGTCAAGAGGCCATTCTGAATTAATGAGAACTGTGGAAAGTTCAGCCGTTCTCGATATATAAGAGATTTTTCAAGCATATCTTCTTTTATAAACATATATATCGCACATATTTTGCTATATATCCGTTTTGTTGGATGTTAACATCAATGTAAAGATCAGAAGTAACCTTGTCATGGCTTTGTGATTTCGCCGGGATTTAAAATATTCGCGGTTTAATGAAAATTTTTTAATTTTTTCAACACAAAATATATGGTCTATTTTTCCCGCTAAATATTATCCGATGACCACCCAAATTGGTAGGCTTCTTCCCCGCCCTAAACTCTACCTACATGCGAAATTCCGCGTCGATTGGTCTATAATTGCGACCTGTATAGCTACTGCAAAATTCGACATTTTTTCAGTATTTGGTCCATTTCAACCCCTAAACATTTGGCGATCATCTCCAAAAGAAATAGGGTTCTATTCTGACCCCAGACCCACCTCCATTCTAAATTTCGTGAAGATCGGGCCATAATTGCGACCTGTAGAGTGATTACAAATTAACATGGACAGACGGACAGACGGACGGACGGACATACATAGCTAGATCGACTCAGCTCGGCGAGCTAGGAAGATCCATATATACTTTCCTATATGGGAAACCAATATTTCGAGGTGTTACATAAATTCTGGCCCAATCAAACTTATAATACCCCCAACACATAGTGTTGTTGGGTATAAAAACTTGAAAATTATGGCGTTTGACTTTGTTGCAGTTTTTTTATCTCACCTTGTATATACTTAGTTAGTTAATATACCCTCCATGTTGGTGGGGGGTCTAAAAGCCGTATCTTTTGGTACCGCTTTATGGGCACTACACTGGTTTAGTTTCAATAACAATAGTTCTTAAATCCCTAAAATACATTTGTATATAGTTTCAATACAGTTTCTTCATTTCATTTAGCAGCTGGATTAAATAAGTGAACGATAATATAAATAAACCCTTCTCTACAGTATTCTAGCGCAACTACACCTTTGGCGCCATCTATTGTTAAAATGAGTATAAAAGTTTGACTTTATGACAGTTTATGTCTTGGGTTAGTGTGCTGCCAAGTCTAAAAATATCGGACGCGTTACTTTTCCATTAGGCAGCATCTATATGGTGGTCTTAGCGCCATCTATGCAAATTTAATTTACATAACAATTTAAAGTGTAATCCCTTGGAAGATGGCGCTACTAACAAAATATGATAAGGTTTCCAAAAGTCTTTAAAATAGTAGGTATTTGGGAAAAAATGAACATTTTAACAGAATTTCTGTAACTAAAGGCTTGTAAAAGCGCCTATGTTCGTCTTGCCCCAGTAGTCGAAAATTTTATTTTTAAACTCAAATAAATAATAATTCTTATAATTAAATGTAAAAAAGAAATTTATTAAATTTCACTAGAAAAATATGATTTATTCTAATAAAATTTAAATTTTTGTCAGTAAAAAAAACTCTTTAAAAAATAGTGGAAAAGTCAAATTTAAAAGACTCGTAACTGTGTTAAAGCCAGCAAATTTTCAACAGGGTCAGGAATTCTATTGTAAAATATTTATAATTATGCATAATAATTTTCTAATTCTAATGTGAGTGAAAAAAAAATCATTTTCGATGTTATAACTAATAAAACATTTTATAAATGTGAAGCAAATACTTTAAAATACTATTAATTAACAAAATGATTTTCGAGCATTTATTCACCATCAGAAACATTCTAAAGACTGAAATCTCATCAACTTCAAAAATGATTTTAGCGACCCTGCCGAACATTGGATAAAAAATCTTTAAAATAAAAACGTCGAACATGCCATGCCGACAATTGGCAAATGAGCCGACTATCTGCAAAAACTATTTTAATAAATTTGCAAATTTTACAAATGTTATAAAAAAAGTAAGCAAAGGCTATAGTCGTGCGGGGCCGACCATGTGATACCCTACAACACTACAATATGGTAAAAGCCCTCTTATGTTCTAATCCATTTTGGAATATTTCGCTTTTGTAGTTATATCATAGAGCACTGCCCAGATATTACCCTTAGCTTTTTGACCAGGGACCCTAAATATTTTGCGACCATCTCCAAATGCAAGAGTCCCTTCTTCATCACCAAATTTAGACACATCATATGATTTGCTTTTCTACAATATTTGTTCGCCTGTAAGTTATTATCATCGTTTCGGTAGAATGGCAATGTTGATATTTTCCACACAAAAGTAGTGGTCCATTCTACCAGCTGTATTAAATTCTAACTTCATGCGAGATTTCCTGTCCTTTGGTTTCTATTTGTGACATAACGGCTGCATGATCTCTATGATCAGGAACCGTTTTAGTTGTTGGTTCATTTTAACCCCTAAATATATTGCAGACATCATTAAAAACAATTGGCCTAGTACTTCTGAGCCTAACCCTACTCTCATCAAAATTTTCGTGAGAATCGGACGATAATTATAATCTGTTTATAATAACTTCAACCTATGTTGTAAGGTAAAAATGTTGACAAATTTTATTTTTATTTAACACAAATTGGTAGGCTTCTGCCCAGCCTTAAGCTCTAGCCCCATGCTAAATTTCGCGTCTATAATTGCGACCTGTAGGTCCACTTCAACACCTAAATTTTAAGCGGTCATCTCCAAAAGCAATAGGCTTCAATTCGTGAGGATCGGTCCATAATTGCGACCTTCGAAAATTTGCTTTTCGAATAAAATTTACGTGGAAAGAAATGCGAAAAACACAACAGAATTGACATTGAGATTCATTAATTATATTGTTGTTGCAATATTCATGCTTATTCTCATAAAAAACCACCATAAAAGTATTAAGTCTGACTATTTTGCGAGTAAAAAGTAAAAAAAAACTTTTCGAAACAAGACCAAACAACAAGGCCGACTGAGATTTTAATTGGTTGTTACTGGAGAAATAAGGTCGAGTAATATTTTCTAACATCCAGTAAATTTTCGGTCACATGTCAAAATGTAACCTATGTTAATGTTAACCTGTACCAAAGTCGAAATAAAACAATTTCAAAATAATTTTTATACATATTTTTTATTTACTTTTTGGATTGTTTTAATTTTTTTTAAATGATTTTTCTCATTTTATATTTTTTGTTTGTTGTTGTATATAATTTGTAATAATAATAATATTCATTTTATTAATAGTAATAATAATATTTTGTGTTTAATTATTTTAATATATATTTGTTTATATATGTATATATGACAATTACACATACAATTAAACATGTATAAATAAAAAATGTTTATTTCTTTTAATATTATTTATTTGTTGTTTGTTTGTGTGTTTTAAGGTATATAATGTATTCATTTAAATGTATATGCATTTAATATTATTATTTATTATTGTATTGTTTAACTTGTGTTTTTTTAATATTATGGGATTTAATTTTAAATACTTTTTCATCTATTTTGATTTTTTTATGTTTTTGTTTTCTTTATTTAATTATTAAATTAATAAGCCATTTATGGATTCATATCCTTACGTGTGCAATTTATGTCTGTGTGTATGAGTGTGTATGTGTCATGTGGGTAGTTATTTTTTATTTATTTAATTCTATTAAATTTGTATTTATTTGTTGGTATACTTTGCGCATAATTAAATTATGAACCACAAAATTTGTATTCATATTTTTTTTTGTATAATAAATTTCATTTAGTTTCCATTACGAAAAATATACTTGTTTTACAAAATACACAATTAGCAAAAAGTTTTTTTTTTTGATTTTTTTTTTTGGGGGTAAGTCAGAAATTTGATTCATGGTAAATTAAAGTTTGTATATAAATATTTGTTTTTTTTAATTCTTTTTGAATTTTAAGGTTTCTTGGGTGAGGAGGAGATGATTGGTTGGTGGGAAGAAAACAAATTGATGTAATGAAAAAATTAAGAACATTTATACAGTGCCACAACATTCAAGGTATGTCATCAATGTGATAAGGTTCGAAGTAAACTTCTGGCAAATCAGGACGAGAAATATCAAAATTTAAAAAAAACTAGTTAAAAAAATAATATGTTCAAGAGTTTGTTACAAAGTATTTTGAAAGACCCGAAAAAAATCCTCAGTCACATTGAAAGTATAATCTTGATTTTTTTTATTGCAACACTGTGCCGTAACTAACATAAATAAACACACATTGATTTTACACAGAGAGATTATTTAATAAGAATATAATAATTTCAATATGCGGTGAATATGTGATGACAATCACACCGCTTGAGTTCGGAGTTCGTGAAGCATTTTGAAACCATAGCAAAATTGAGTTTCCATTCGTGTTTTCTTGTATTTTTATAACAATTAAAGCTTTACAAAAATGAAGCTATTCATACAGAAAAAACTGTTATAAATTAGGGGTTTGAATGTTAATTTTTGACATTCATTGTTGGTTTTTGTTTCTTTTTTTATGTTTTGCAATTCTCAAATGTTATTTATATCTTGTATTTGCATTTGTAGAAAAAAGAGATATGCTTTGATTTAACTATACGCTATGCTAGCTTTCGTATCATTCTTACTAATCCTTGATCCTAGTGTTTAGATACTTTCCTATGCTATATTCATTTGTTTCTTTGTTGTTATTGTTGCTGTTTATTCGTCGTTTAGATAATTACACAGGTTGTTTGTTTTTTTTTTCGTTATTTTGCTTTATTGTTATTTTAATAATTTCGTTTTTTTAATTTATTATATTTCTTCTTTGTTACGATATAAATATTTATTTATGTATAAAAATAATAATTCAGGTTTTTGTTACTTAGATTATACTTAAGATTTGTGTGTGTATCTGTGTGTTTTTTAATAAAAAAAAAAGGAAAAAGTATATAATTAATAATTATTTTCGAAAAGAAAAACCATATTGAACATAAATTGTAAGGAAGTTAAAATTGTTCTTTAAAGCCTTAAAACAATGAAAAAATGTAAACTTAAATAATCTAGGGATATAACGTTAACAAAAATTAAAAAAAAGAATAGAATACAAAAATGTTGAAAGGCTTAACATTAAATAAAATGTATACTCTATTTATATATATTGAAAAAAATGAAGAAAGCTTAGCTTTTATTTTAATTTACTATTTTTACAAAATTTTAGATAAGAGTTGGAGTTGTGGTTTACCATTGAATTAATTTAAATTTAATTTAAATTTCTATTAAACATTATGAAGAGTAAAATATTACAAAAACCTTATTACAAAAATTGGAAATAAATTAAACAAGAAAAAATTAATAATAAAAATGGAGATTTGATCTTTAGTTTCTTAAAAGAAAAATATTGTAAATGTAAAATTTTTCTCATAAAAAACCAAAGATCTTCAAAAAGAAAACTTAATGGAAATTTTAAAAAATAAAATATAACAAAAAAGAAAAAAACAGGGTCTTCACAAAAATGTGTAAGAAAATACATTAAAAACTTAAAATAATAGTATTTCGAAGTTAATTAATTTTCGTTTTCCTTCCATTTAGTGATACCCTATATATGATGAGAAGAAATTAAAAAAGAACCTAAATAATTTAAATTTAATGCATGTAGATTTTAATATAAGCAATTAAACATTAACTAAAGAATTATGTATTTTTTACAAAGATTTACAAATATTCAATATATCGTTTGATCCTTAAAAGTGTGAGATTTTGGAATATTATTTACCAAAACTATTTGTTTCATAGAAAATGGTATTATTAATAGAAATTGAAATGGGACTACAATTTTTTTAATATAAATAAATGTAGAAAATTGGAATTTGAGAATTACATTTATGTTGAAGCCCATTAAACAGAATTTAATCAACTTTTGCAAACAAAGGTAGACCATTGGAATATTATCTGCGAAAAAAGTTTGTTTTCTAGAAAATAGAGTTATTAATAAAACAACATATTTCTCGAATTACTTTTTTAAAATAAATAAACTAATAAAATTCTGATTACATTAATGTTGAAGTCTTTTAAAGAGACACATTCTAAGTTATTCAACTTTTGCAAAAAAACGCATTTTATGGGGTTGTGAAAAAAGGAGTCAAAATGTTATTTTCTCTAAAAATTAATTTAAAACAAAGCTTTTTTCGTTGGACTCTAAAACTACATTATAAATTACAAAATTGGAAATGGATGCGTTCAACGGGCTTAGGTTTAAATTAAAAAAAAAATAATAAAAATATTTCCATAACCTCAATGCTGGGGACTTGAAAATTGCCAATATATCGGAAAGTCAAGGAAATGGCCAATATACATAGTTCAAGGAAACTGGATATTATGTATGTATATTTTTATTGTATATATTTTTTAATTTTAATAAAGGGTTTCAATTAACAATTAAATAACATAAAATTCCAGAAATTATTTTTATACAATTAACTCTGTAATCCCAATAATATTTTAAAAGGTTTTCTTAATGAAAAATCCCAAAATCACACATTTCGTTCGTAGACAACAAACTTATTTTCAAAAAAAATATACATTTATTTTCTTAAATTCCTCTTTAAGAGTCCCGCTCATTCTAATCTATTAACAAAACCAACAATAATCCAAAATTAGAAAAAAAAAAATAAACCACAATTAAAAAAGAGGGTGGGTGATGTTTTCAAAACATTCCAAATTCAAACCACGTGTAATAAAAATACTTTCCATCTTAAATCCGATTATTTAAAACAACAAGTAAACACCTCCATTAAAACGAATACCTATCCATATAACAACGCTATGCCCTATTACCATTAAAATTCCTTTAAACTGCCACCACGTCTCAGTTTGGCCAATCTGCGAAAACTTCCACCCATTGTTGGGGTACCAGGTACCATGCCCAGATTTGGTGAGCCGGTCAGCGATGAACAGCATGTTGAACGGTCCCGAATTATGAATGAACCTCGAAATCGTACACGACTGCGGCTGCGTTCCGGTGTAGTTTGCAAAGACATGGGCGGTTGTAAATATAACGAAGATGTGTTGGAAGCGGCGACATATGTCATACCGCTGGGTATTGAATATGGAGGTGTGGCCTTGTTGTGCCACACATACTCCGGAGATTATAACTTTTTCTCCCAGATGACAATGTGGGCATCATTGGAGTTGGCAATGAGGGGCGATGAGGCTCCCGAACTGAGGGAACCCGATGATGACGATGATTTATGGCCGGGTGAAGTGGTATTGTTGTACCAGACATGACGCCAATAACCCCGACCACCGGTCAGTGTAATAATGGTACGAGGTCCATCGGCTTGTTGCTGCTGTTGTTGCTTGGCATTTTGTTTTTGTTTACGTTTCAACGTGGCTGTTGCTGCTGGTGGGGGTGTGGTACTGGTACCGCCAGCTGTTGCAGCCCCAGCTCCGGACGCTTGTTGCTTTTGTTGTTGCATCAGCTTGAAACCATCATCTGATTTTGGTGTACTGTGAGTATAATGCAAATCGGTCATGAGGCCATTTTCCGATATATTACCCAAATCACTGCCATTGCCCGAGGTTTTATGGCTTGCACTGGAACTGTTGCGTGAAACCGAACGGCCTCCAAAGAAACGTATACCCATGCTCTCTTCACTGCCCGAAGAGGTGTACAAACTTGATGACTTAGAATCCACTGACCAATTGGACAAATCCAAAGATCTGGGTCGTGAGGCTTTCATGCGCAAACGTCTATCCAAAGTGGTGACACGTCCGGGTATGGCTGCCAATTCGGGGTCCGAGCGACGCATACCCTCATACATCATATCCATAAGGTTGCCTTGGGTACCTTCTTCAGCATCATAGTCTTCTTTGATGTAGATCAATTTAGCATACAAGTCATAGACATCGCAATAACCATGCTCCGTATGCGATAGGGTACTAGTATTCGAATTCATGCCAGACTGGAAATAGGCACCAGCTGAACCCAGACCTCTAGGCAACGTTTTAGATATGCGTGCCGATTCAGAGGACAAGTCACGGAAACGTTTGCGATGGAAAGCCGGTGAGTTTGCCAAGGAGGCACGTATTTTGGCCGAAAAACTTTGATCCAACGAGTTTTGTTTATCCAATTTGGAACAGCGTGGTGAAGAAGCCGCCGAGTCTGCTCCACCTCCAGCTTCAACACTTAACTCCCTCAGCATAGAGGCTGAGGGTGAAGCAGAACCTGAACCATTCTCATCTTTGGGTAAGTCACGTCTAAGAATAACTGCACTATCATCCAGTTCTGCTTCTGTCAACTTTTTGGGATCAGCGTCTATGGCGGGCAACTGCAAGTCATCACCCATGCTGGGTGCAGGGGGCGACGGCTCAGCAGGCATATTTATGGCTAATGGCATTGTTTGTGATGTCTGAGCGTTTGCGGTATTTGGTTTATAACTGGGATACGACTTGGGCACCAATGGCAAAAGGAAGGTGATAGGTCCAAAGTGGGCATGACAAGACATACTGATGCCGCCACTGATAATCGGTACACCCTCCAATCGAGGCAGTGGTATAGTAACTGCAATACCCACATTTGTGCCTACCCACAGCAAACCTTTGCAGGCCATCAAAGCGGTCACATAGATGGCGTTGTTATTGACGGCGTGCTCCTTCTTGCCATCACTGCGCAACACACTTGAGGCAATATTGATGTCCTGTAAATGCTTGAAGGTTTCAGTGTGATACAGACACAACATTGTGGAATTCTTCAAGGATATCCATAATCCAATACCCGAATGAGCCATTAGATTCACTTGCTGATTCGAGCCATGGTGGACTTCGAAGCTCCTTTGAATCTCTCCATTAAGAGCATTCAGGACATATACACGGTTAGCACACGCTGCATATATATTCATATTGATGGGCAAAATACTGGGCACAGGTAGACCGGAATCACCCATCACCACCACCTGAGGATCTTTGAGCATCCAAACGCCATCGTAGGCCCGACGATATATCAAAATTGTGGAATTCGATAGGGCCACATAAACGGAATCGAAATGATAGAGTATCTTCATTACGACACTTTGGACATTGCAGCAATGCAGTTGTTCCTCCTGTTCGGGATTTTTGGCGGTATAAATGAGTAGCTTTTTGGTGTCGGTGCCCATCCATATGAGGTCTCCCAAAAGGCTACTTACATCCTCGCGTGTCTTGCAGATCTCCAAGCCCTTGACATATTCCATTGCCGTTACTTGGGTTTCAGCCAATTCGAAAGTGCTAACATCCCTCAGATTACCGGCCTGCTGATGATGCTGCGAGAAGACGGTGATTTGTGAAGATGTGGTGTTGGTTGTGCAGATCCAGAGATAATTTTGTTGCTTGTGGCGGCGTCGGGCATTGCCACTGAGTTTGGGGTCATTGGCGATGCTATAATAACATCCACAGCGAACCTAAGGAGAAAATGAATGAAAATCGGAATTAGTACGAATATAGAATCTTTGGCAGGCAGGGCCTTTAAACTCACCTCCGTTTGATGCTGTGACTTGTGTATTGGCATCGCTTTGACAAACAATGGCATTTTATTCGACTGTCGTTGCACCAGCTGCATTTGCTGTTGCTCATACGCCGGTGTACTGGTGGCACACGGCTCAGCCGGTGTTGTCTCCCACGCTGGCGAGTTGTTCACATCCAATGCCAACTGGGCCAAACGCAATTCCGTAATCCACTCCTTTTTCACATTAGGATTTGCCGTTTGGAATGTAAATGTCTCCTCTTTGCCATTTTTGGATCGGGCCACCAGCTGAAGACAGCACGAGTCAACCCAGGCCATTTCTTCATTTTTACGCTGTATCGAACTTTGGATGGAGTTCATGAGATTACGGGTCAAATTGGTGTTGAGCTCTTTGTATGTACCCTTAAGGGTTCCAACCAAATCGTTGATACGCGACACAACCTCATAATCGTACATGAGCGTCGACATCTCGTTGCACAGGTTGTCAGCACCATTGGTCAGTAAAGCTGCGGGTGAATTGTCGAAGGCGGGATTCTGATAGCCCGCCATTGTGGCGGATGGTGATGATGTGTTGGCAGGTAGGGTTTTGGTTTGATAATTGTTACATGAACTGCTGTTCGATTTGAGACTTCCACCGCGATTGAGACCTATAATGGAAGGATGGAAATGTTAACGATGAGACTTGTATACAATTACCTCGTTCAAGGGAAAATGATCCTTCGAGCGAATTTAAAATGTTTAATTTATTGCATAGACATTGTGGAGCGAAAACAAATTCGATACAAATGTATATAAAGTGGTTCAAGGATTTCTAATGATAGTCGAACAAGTGTTGAGTTCCTTGGGAATAATATTCAAGATGGGAAGGATTTTCTAGACATGTGTTATGGAGAGCAAAGACCCACCCAAGGTATTGTTTGAGTTCGCCTTCAAAAAAAGTTGACTTTTTGTGTAATGGCCTTTTTCTTCAATTTTCAAAAAATCGATTTTCGATATTTAATTCCCATTCCAAAGTCGTTTACGCTCGATTTCGATTGAGGAAGTCGAATTTCACCAACAGATAATAGAGTCGATTTTTAGATGAGCATTTTTAAATGAGCAAAAAAATAGACCTAAATCGTTGACAAATAATAATAAAGTCGATTTTGAAATGAGCAAAAAAAATAGAATTAGAGATACGTTGCATACTTTTGGCTCATAAGACAATTAAAAACTTAAACTTTTCAAAACCGACTTTTAGATAAAAAAAAATCCCAAAATAGCTGAGAGAATATTCTCTAAATTAAAAATTGCACATATTTTTGAAAGAGTAATGCAGGGCAAAAAACGATGTTACTCTCTGACAAAACCTCAAAACCAGTGATGCAAACTTGGTGCTTTTCGCGCTATTTATGGTGCTTTTTAGACCCCCCAAAACGCCAAAATAGTGGGCATAGCGCGAAACGAAAAAAAAAAACACTGTACGTACGCGTTTCATCTTTTCTGTTGGTGCTATTTGCAGGTTTTAGATTTAAAATGTGGCAATGTTCATACATTCGAATATGTTGATAGTATGGCATCTGGATAGAAGTAAATGAGTTCAAAGATTCCATTGGGCCAAATTCCTTTCAAGTTTTATCGTAATTCGTTATAATACTGTTAAACTTCCCATACTCAAATACAGAAGTAGAAAGAGCATTCAGTACTAAGAATTTATATAAATCGAAAACAGATTAACCTTAAATTTTGTAAGTTCTATTTTACATATTAAATATGGCCTTCGTCGAGAGAATACTTGCTGTGACAAATATGACCTGCCGTCAAATTTCTGTACAAAAAATTTCTACACAAGAAGTTTACAAAAAGTCTAATTATTTTTTACAAACAGTCTTATGGCAAAATGGAGAAACTGATGCAGACATTTCAACTGCATTTGAAGCAATGGGTTTTATAGGTGAACATAATTTTTTTTGTAAAAATGTATATGTCTGTAAGTTTTAACCACATGTAAACTGTTCCTAATATATCATATTTTTTAAAAATATGTATGCACTTATATACATTAGATATTTATATGAGATATGATCTCAATTTTTGAATAAAACAGTATTTAGTTTAAAAAAAGGGCTTTATTGACAATTTTTGCATTTGCATTGGTTAGAAAAAAATACATAGCGCTTTTACGCCTTTTTAAGGAAAGTTTTTACGCTATTTACGCTTTTCCGGTTTTTAATTACGCTTCTAGCTCTCAAAATGTTGGCAACACTGCTCGTCCGCCCTGCTCAAAACCTTGTTATAGAATATGAGCCGAAAAAAGAGATAATTCAGGAGAAAATTAAAATTCTCTTTTTCTTTATATTTTACGATTCCATTTAATTGTTTTTAATTATGAATGTTTGCCAAAATAATTTATAAAGCAAATGAATAAAAATTATTTGTATAAATAATGACTTAACACTTTTTGTTCTTATTTTAAATAAGCAAAGAGAAATATGACTGGAAAGACATATTTTTTCTTGAGCAGCGCTTGAGCCCGCTCAAGGTAGATCTAACAGGTAACCGCATCGGCGAATTGCTACAACAAAGCAACTTTTGTGGTCCCCTCAAATGTCAAAATTGGCATCTAAGGCGAAAAACATAGATTCGCCATGACATTTAAAGGTTGCGGCAAATTTGTTTCAACCAATCAGAAACGAGATGTTTGTTTACATTTTATTTTGTGTGCCTCTCGTCGTAAACGAACGTCGCAATAAAAGTTTTTATTGTAAAAAAATAAGAGTAAAATTAGTATTAATTGTAGTATTGCGATATTTTTTAAACCAAGAAACTTATAATGACTATATTTTACTGGTTTAAACCGAAAGTTTTCCGGAACTGCAAATGACAAGAGTCGAATTCTTGCACTACTTCGCGTGATATGCTTTGGGAATCTTAGATGTTGAGGCTAACTTAATTCTTAAAGCTGCACTCCATTCTAACCTCCTTCCTTCATTTTCTTTTATTTTTTTTTACTGGTTTCACTCTTAACTTGCTCTTAAATTATTTAAAATTATATAAAAAGGTACTTTTAGGGAAGACAACATAAACAAATTTGTTGTTGCATTCATTTAGGGCGAATTCTTCATTACAACAATTTGTTTTGACATTTAATGGTGCCGTCAGCTGGGCTGATGCGATTACCTAGTACATCTACCTTGAGCCCGCTCACCAGTCAATTTTTCTTTGCTTTTAGAAGGCATCTATAAATCAGTGTTAAAACGTTATTTATTTTCTATTGTTAATTATTGACTTCATTAACACTTTTGGATCAACTTCATATTTAAAAAAAAGAATTTAAAATATATTAGAATATAAAGAAAAACAGAATATTAATTTTCGCTTAAATGTTCTCTTTTGGCAACTCATATGCTAGCTCATGGTTGCGAGCAGTACTGCCTTCAGTAAAGTTCTGCGTGAATAGGAGGAAATGAGTGAGCTAAGATAATGGGAGCGGAATCCAAGTTCAACGCTTGGCTCTGGCAAACATTCTTTTTTTAATTTTTGGCAAATTTGGCTGTCTCTGTTCAAGTCAGTACAAATACAATACATTTTCAAGTTCTCATTTTTAAATGCTTTCAAACTTTGGAACTCTTGCCTGTCTTGTGCAGGCCTTTTTTCGCTGAGATTTATGTTCTCATTAGTAAATTCAATTTCTACTTCAAATGTGGAAAAGCTTGATGAACAATAGAGAGGAGTTTCTATTAAGTTTTTTTTTGTCTTTAACAGGTGCTCTTTAACCCTGGAAGGAGAATATTTAAATTTACGCTTTTACTTTCATTTTCCCAACTGATTTGAATTTTTTGCTGTTGTGGTTGTTGTTACGCGTTTAAATGTTATCTGCTCAACTCCCACAATTTTTCTTAAATCGTTTTTAAATATGAATAAAATTTCCGCATTAACAAATAATTTCTCTATGGCTCTGGTTTTTTTCGATCTTTATCTTTTAAGGAAGCTTTTGTGGCTTAACTTTTTTTCTCTGTACGAAACACAAAAAACAGATGGATGGATGGATGGATGAATGAAAGGATAGAGAGACAAACATACAGATAGAAATTTGTTTCTAAACAATAAATTTTCTGACATTACAATCTCTCTCGAACTCTCACAATGAAGTTTGTTTGCCATGCTGCATAATAATATTAATATTTTTTAGGATTTGAGTGAAAAAACCTCCATTTTCGACCTGCATCATTTATGTCGGGTTGGTGTTAGGCATGTTTTCCTCTTCTTTTTCTCAAGTTCCCGCTTAAACAACAAATGAAATGAGATTGAATTGTGTTCGGTTTCAGTTTTCCATAAAAAAACAGCCATCAAAACAAACCATAAAAATTCACTTTATTATCTCTTTAGCAATTTATTACATCCGAAGCGGAAACCATACCCTTTTCCCAAACAGAGAAAAAATACTTTGTCCAACATTCAATGGCTATGTGAAAACCGAGTCAGAAAAACCATACACACAATTCACAAAAAATCGAGATTTATTTATGAGTTCGTTCAAATAACCGGGACACATAAGGGGTGAAAATGGGGAGGGGGTGTACCCACCTCTTGGGTGGGAGGTTTGGTGGCTGGCTCCAACACCAAAATGAATTGAATTGCAATAATTATGATTATTGCCAAATTGCATAAATCAACAAATTAACATGGAAACCAAACAACTTGACGACGACGACGAGTATCCAGTCAAAACAATGATTGCTGTTTGGTTTGACGGACATGAAAAATCCATTGTTTTGGGGGAAAAAAACAAAACTGATCCAAAAAACGTTAAAGGCGTAGTTTTTGGCCTCAAAAAAAAAGAAACAGTTTTGTGTTCACAAACTCATTGATAATGTTTGATTTTGACCACCTTTTTTCCTTACAACTGCCACTAATGGCACGAAATCAAACAAAGGCCGAAAGGAAAAAAATCGTTAAACTCTTGTTATATTTGATTCCAATATTTGGCGTAGTTGTCTTCCTTCGACAATGCCAGTGATCTAAGGAAAAAAAGCAAAAAACGACAAAGGAAGACAGCCGACATTTAGTCAATGTTGTTATTGGTATTTGTTGTTGGTGGCAGATTAGATCGCAGACAATTTACAATGCAACACAATTATTTTTCGGGTTACTGTAAATTTATAAAATTTTTAACTTATAAAAATCATTGAAAATGAAACATTTTTTTTTATAAAATTATTTTGTTTTGTTTCTTTGATATCGGAAAGAGATAATAGACGGATAACGTGGCTGAAGAATGTCACCATCTGTCACTAGGATAAAGTGGATAAAGAATTTTATGATGGCTCAGCATTTTATTGAAATGTTACTCATATCTCCATTAACTTTTAACCAAACTATCATCAGGGCCTCGAAAATGTCACAGCTTCAATGATTTGCCTGAGCATAACATAGGATTCTGTGTCAATCATAATATCTACTAACTCTGTGAGTATATAAAAAAAAAAAAAAAACAAATCCTAGCCAAAAACAAAGGCTCCCACCATTTATATCAGTTATCCGGGCGGCGTTGAATTTCAAAAAAAAAAAAAACGAAATCCGGGCAACTAAACAACATTTGTCCATTTCATATGGCATTTGTTCATCATTCACAGCATTCAATGGCATTATTTGTCGCTACAATAGGGTGGCGTTATGTTAGCCGGTTCCGTGCTCTTATAAGCTCAGACTCAACATTGAGTGATCGATCGATCGGTCCAGCGATCCAATGGTATAATACGCAACAACCAACAACAGCACCATTACCATTGTTGCAAAGAAAACAGCAACAGATTGTCAGTCATGCATTGATGGACAGACGTGGTCATTCAGTCGTTTCGTTGGTTGGTTGGTCGATCGGTAGGAGTAAAATACCCACAAAACTGTTAACATTTTATTTTATTGAATGGCTTGGAGGAGAGTGTTTTTTTTTTTTGGCCTCCTCGATGATGATCATCATCATCAGCAGAAGCAGCCGCTGTAACAGGCGCATTGCCGGTGCTGGATACAAATTTTCGAAATGATGATGTCTTAAGTCTTTTGCGCATGCAGTTTTTCTCTATTGTATGAAGACCACCTCCCTCCCCCCAACAATCATGTTCGGATTATTTGTTATTGAATCGTTTGAAGTTTATGTTTGGTTTCTTCGTACTAAAACAAGTAGGAAAAAAAAAACGATGGGTATTTAACATCACGCAATTCATTAGAAAGAAAGTCAAACGAGGTGGAAAGAAATGCTTGAGATATTAAAAGTAATTTGAAGTTGAAGTTCAGTGTTGTGTGTTTGTGTGTGTGTGTTCGTTTTCATCTTCGTTATATTTCTGAAAGATGCTTATGAAAATTTCACTCTCATTCGTAGGAGTCATTGACATGTGATGTGGGATACATCACAACAGCGTGTGATTCAGGTGGAGTCAAAACGAATAATATGTCTGTGTGTGGCCTCCACACGATTGTTACAGTTGAAATTGATGTTGTTTGTTGTAAAAATCAAACTAAATTGAAAATTATTTTAATTTTTTTGGGAAAGAATGTGAAATTTAATTTCATATGGAGATTATTTAGCCAAGAGGTTAAAAAGTGAAAACTGATTGATAATAATTGAAGGTATTTATGAGAAATATTTCAAAATGATCATTTGAAAGAATATTAGAATTGAAATGATTGATTTTGTTATCGGTGGGTTGGCTACAATTAAGTGAAATCTTTAAATGGAATTTTTAGAATTTAAGACTTTGGATAAAGGGTATAAAGAAAATTATAGATTTGGATACATTTTTTATGTACAGAATATAGCTTTGATAAAATTTTTCAATTTTATAAAGAAGCTTTCAATATTGAAAATAGGATTTTAAAGCTTTGCGTGGCCACGTGGGACGTTTTCTATTGTTGAAAAAGTAAGAAAATGTCCCGCGACCACGCATACAATAAATGTAAACTACACAGCCCAAACGAAAGCATTTCCGTGGAAGGAATTGCCAAAGCATTTAGAACATTCAAATAAACATAAAAAAACAACCAAACTTCAACCCTCTTTGCCTATATAAACGTTGCTTGATAAGGGGACATTGCTCTCCCATAAACCCTCTCGCTCTCGCAATTTCTGGACTTCCTTCACTTAGAAACAGGATTTGGCTGAGATGTATTTCTTTTGAAATTAAATTCATTCTAACATTACTCTCTTCCATATTCTCTCTTACCCAGACAGAAATTTAGGTTTCCCCTCTTGAGCCAACTTCCAACTGAACTACCTAAATTCCTTACAATGAGAAATTTGCAACATCGGTTCCGGAAGATTATAGATGCTCATAATGTGTAGCATAAATTTTCGAAAATAGCTGGGAATAGTTCCCATTTACGGTGGCCCCCTAAATAATTGGTCCTAGCTAAATTTTCAACAAAATGGGTTAAAATGGGTTTTTTGCGAGTCGAAAACTATCTTGGGTTTATGTAACAAAAATGATAGTCAAACAACGAGAGACAAATCGATGGTAGAGAGTATATATATGTTAGGGATTTTGAAGCTTTACCATAGCAGGTGGAATGAAAAAATGTGGACCAGATTAACTTAGTTTTGGAGTTATTTTCAGAGGACTCTAGTTTATATATTTTATGAATTCTGTTCATAATAATAGAGCTGCTTTTGTGGAAAATGTATGTGTGAATTATATACAACCAAAACATATTTAGATGCTCATAATGTGTAGCATAGATTTTCGAAAATAGCTGGAAATAGTTCCCATTTACGGTGGCCCCCTTAATAATTGGTCCTAGCTAAATTTTCAACAAAATGGGTTAAAATGGGTTTTTTTGCGAGTCGAAAACTATCTTGGGTTTATGTAACAAAAATGATAGTCAAACAACGAGAGACAAATCGATGGTAGAGAGTATATATATGTTTGGGATTTTGAAGCTTTACCATAACAAGTGGGATGAAATAATGTTGGCCAGATTAACTTAGTTTTGGAGTTATTTTCAGAAGACTCTAGTATATATATTTTATGAATTCTGTTCATAATAATAGAGCTGCTTTTGTGGAAAATGTATGTGTGAATTATATACAACCAAAACACATTTTTCCTATTGATGGGATATACTTTTTTTGTCATTGTTGATAATTTCCTAAAGCTCTATGCATTTTCCAAATTGAAAAAAAAAATATTTTCAATAATTTTTCCCATCCACTCACCTGCAGTTAATATTCTCGACAATGTTGCGGAAGTACTATTATCAACAATTTCCACATCTGTCACCGGATACATCCATTTAAATGTCAATTTCTCTGTTGCACCGAAATCATGCGACTGTTTGGGCGCCACCGAAACACAAATCACTTTATCGTTCAGCAACAGCAGGCGACGCTGTTTCGATTTGACTATAAAACCGGCCTGATTAAATTCCATATGTGTTACATTATCCTCTCTGAGTAAATAGCGTGGCCGATTGCCTTCGGTCGTTGTTAGAGAGCGTGTATTGAATGTGCCACTTATGTGACCCAGCATCTCTTTGAAACCCTGATACTGTTCGGCCTCACGTTTACGTTCGTTCAGCATTTCGGCCAGCAGTTCCAACTGTGTTAAGGCCAATTGCAGCGACATACGATCATGATGGCCCTGGGGTGTATATTTGAGTAGATCCTGCAAAAAGAGTATGAACTGGGGGAAACGTTGCACCGGCTTCACCATCAAACCGAAGAAACTCAAACGATCGTGAGCGCTGATTTGTTTCACTTTGAAGAAATCCGCCAGAGCTGATTTGCGTTTCTCCTCCATTTTGGCTAATTCCATGGCAGCTGAGAAATTGTTAATGAAACCCGAATAGATCTCCAAGATACGTGGCTTACTGAAGGCGCTAACAAAACAATCACCCAGTTTTTCATCACGATCCCAATTGCGTACACATTCCGCCAAGGCGATGCGGAACAGTTGGTGCGATTGCAGAATATCGGGCAGGCGATGAAAGAGGGTATTGATTTTGGTAGCACTCAAAACGGGTGGACTACTTTCTTCCAGAGGTTTTTTGTAATCCTAGAGGTAGTTGTTTATGGTGGTTTTGTTGGGTTTTATTTTCGTTGGTTGTTTGATTGATTTGTTACGGCGCAGATTTTCATCAACATTGAGGAAATAAAAGGAAAAAGAAAAAATAAAAGAGGAAATGTAAATTAGTAAAGTTATAAAGGTAGCTAAAACAAAATGTGTTTCTTTTGTAGAATAGGCATGGAGTTATGTGAGATTTTAATTGGGAAAGAAGAAGAGGAACCCATCTTAAAATCATTTGTAGAAAAATGAAAATGGCGGACAGTATTCCACACATGGAAGAAACGTTAAATATCTTCTAATTATAGAAGACCTGTGAAAGGACTTGCATCTATAAGAGATCTGTGGAAGGTCTTCAGTCTTTAGGATATCTGAGGAAGGTCATGAATTTATAGAAGACTTATGGAAGGTCTCCTATATGTAGACCTGTAGAAGAAAAGGTATGGAATACCCATGAATCGTCATCTGTATATAGCAGGTTAGTAAACGTTTTTCTGTATAGAAGGTCAGAAGAAGATCTGCTATGTATAATTAAGACATTCTATCTATAGAATATCTACAAACGATCTGTTAAAGTATAGAAGACCTGCTGAGGGTTTTCTATACGTGGAAAATCCCTTGAAGACATTATATTTATAAGAGACCTGTGGAAAAATTTCTATCCTGCGGAAGGTCTTTTATATATAAGAGACCTGTGGAAGGTCTTCTATCTACAGAAGACCTGTGGAAGGTCTTCTATCTATAGAAGACGTGTTGAAGGTCTTCTATCTATAGAAGACCTGTTGAAGGTCTACTATCTATAGAAGACCTGTGGAAGGTCTACTATCTATAGAAGACCTGTGTAAGGTCTTCTATCTATAGAAGACCTGTTGAAGGTCTTCTATCTATAGAAGACCTGTTGAAGGTCTTCTATCTATAGAATACCTGTTGAAGGTCTTCTATCTATAGCAGATTTGTGGATCTGTGTTCTATAAGAGGTCTGTGCATGGTCTTCCTAATATCGAAGACCAATGGAAATTATTTATAGACGACCTGTTATCGGTCTTCAATATAAGAGGCTTGCGGAAGATTTTCAATGTCCAGAAGGCCTGTAAGGTCTTTTATGTATAGAAGACCTTCTATCTATTTAAAAAAAGGTTTTCTTCTTCTTTCCTGTTTGTGTGTATAGTATGTGTGTGTGTCTTATATTTATAACTAATAGACTTTGTACAATTATTTACTTTAATTTTGCAACTATTTGTAGGATGGTAGTAATGGTTGTTAGTAAATGATGAGAGATTAAAATGTACATTTCATTTCGATTTTTTTATTAAGGTTTGATTGATAGCGTGACGTAGAAGTATAGAGGGGGGAAGAAATATTTTTGTATTAATTTTTTTTTGTTTGGTTAATGGATGGCATGTAAAGAAATAAATTACAAAAAAAATATATTTTATATATTAATATAAATATGAGATATTATGGAAAAAAAGAAGAGAAGGGGATAAAAGTTAAAGTATAATAAAAAAAACTTATTATGTATCAACAAAAAGGTTGAAGCTAAAAAAAAAAACAATTCCGTGAAAAGCAAACTAAGAATAAGGGAAAAAAAAGGCTAAATTCTTTACCAGGAAAAAGTTTTCAGTAGTCTAGCATTTAAAACAAAAAACCCATTCAAAGAAAAAAGCATGCAAAAAATTAATAAAAAAAAACTCTTAAGTCCTTAATAGAAAATAGCAAACATAATATTCTTTGATGTTAAAAATGGAAACATTTTCAATCAATGTTAAACAAGAAGATTGTTGTAATACATTAAAATAATATCCTTTATTTCCCCTTGCTCAGTCCCTTAATAAATTAACTTGATTTGTTGCAAATGTTTGGGGAATAGAATTTGATGTTGGTATGGTTTTTGTTGTTTGTTTCGATTCAATTACGGTATTTTTGCCTTGCCATGTCCGCCCCACTCCCATATCCTTTTCTTTACAATTGGCAATCAAAGTGAAAAAGGTAAGTGAGTCAATTTGTGGTCTATGGAGATTTTTTTTCGTCTTAAAAGTAAAATTAGCACTAATTACATTTGTTTCCTCGAAATCTTGTATAATGGCAGCTACATACATACACATAAGTGTACCAAAGGCAATCAGGATAATTGAATTTGGTGTTATGTATGTGAAAGTTTGTCTATTCCCTTCAATGGAATTTTGCCATTGAACTGAAGAAATTACAAAGCAAGTGGCAGTATTATGTTGTGGGAATTTTTATTTGATTTGTGGTTTGATATGGGGAAAATATAGCATAAAGAAGAAGAAGAAGAAGAGTATTCTACAAATTTGGGCACATGAATACCTTAATATGTGAGTAATGGAGCTTCAGCTGAGCTTAACACGTGCCTTATTAATTATTCTTAATGGGGTCATGGAGAAAATACTTCCGCTATTAACAAAATTGTGTGTTAGTTTTGGGAACGGGATAAAGGGATAAAGGGAATGTAAGCAACTTCTGCAACATAGAAAATAAACATCTTTCTCAGAAATCAGAGATTTTTCTTTGTAATTTCCCTAACATTTGTTAGATTCTGAAAATATGCTGACTATTTTGTGAGATACGGATCCATTAAATTGGAAAATGTGACTGGGATGATATTCAAAAAATAAAAAATAAAATAAATAAATAAATAAAAAAATAAAAATAAGTAAATAAATAAATAAATGAGAGTACAGTTACAAGGGGCCAATAGAAAAAAAAAATGGCAGCAACATACATAGTATAAAGGGTATATTAAGTTCGTCATTTCGTTTGTAACTTATAGAAATAATAATTTTATAATTAACAATGATCAGCGTAAAATCCGTCTGTTGTAATCACACTAAAGGGCAAACTAATAAAGATAGGGAACTAACATATTGCACAGATCAGTCTTTTGTCTGCAGGCAGGTCAAGTTCGAAGATGGCCCATGATATCGTATATTATTCATGCAGGTCTAGATCTTCGTATATCCCGCATATATCGGTACCTCCCTATATTTGTACTTTGACGATTTTAGGTACAATATTCACCGAAATTTCGTATTTGAAGTTCCTAATAGGTACTACAGACTGTGACAAGAAACTGTCTATACAGGTCCAGGTCTTCGTATAGCCCCGATATGTCGGTACATCCCTATAATTTTAGCTACATTATTCACCGGTTTTTTTTTTCAAGTTTTGTTTTTGAATATTGTAATGGCTTATGACAAAAGTTGTCTATGCAGGTCCTCGTCTTCGTATGGACTCCAATATAAGGGCTATATTCGGTATTTTTATTTTTTTGAAAATTTTCAAATTCGTTTCATGTTCGGCCCGACCGAACTTACTGCTTCTTACTTATTTTCTTTAATTTCTAATGATTTTTCGGCTACGCCTGTGCAACAACCCAATATCAAAAAAATCGTTGATTTGATAACAATGACAATAATAACAAGTAAGCAAAGGTTACAGTCGAGCGGGGCCGACTGTTCAATACCCTACAACACTATAATAAATACTCGACAGAATTCCACAAGATATTGTGACAAATAATAAAAGAAAACCAACAGTTTTCGTTCTCTAATTTTCGAATAAAAGCAACTTAAACTAATTTGCTCATTTCCAATTTATTGGTGGATGTTGCACGTAAGTGGTCTTCCTAGATCTGGAACCAATATTTACCCAAAGACCTATAACCTCTAAGAAGTGGCAAAAGATTAACATTTATTATTCGGTTTTGACTGAAACGCATCTATATGAGATACAGACATTTGACTATATTCTTCAACGAAATCAGTGTTAACGAAATAGTCGGAAATGCGTCTTTCCTGTATTTGTGAATTCTCCAAAAAGTCACTGGAATAGACATTTTCGTATTTTGTCTACAAAAGTTGGCAAACTATTTCACAAACTTAATATTTTTGGATGGTCGGTAACCCCCATTCAAATGTGCGTGAGGATCGGGCGATAATTACGACCTGCAAACAATTTTGCAGTTTTTTGGTCCATTTCAACCCCTAAATATATGGCGATCATCTCCAAAAAGAGTAGGCTTCCATTCTGACCCTCATCTTATCCCCATGCAAAATTTCGTAAGGATCGGGCCATAAATGAGATCTGTATATGATATCCTGATATTCTAACTACTTTGTTTTGTTAGCTGTAGAAATATTACCAAATGTTTAATTCAAAAGGAAAATATGCCAAAAATACGACAAAATTGAAAAAATATGAGAAAATTTTACAAAATCAATATTTTTATCTATAGAGAGATATTTTTATGCGATTTTTTTAGTCATTTTTTCTTTCCTGCCAAGAGGCCATTCTGAATTAATGAGAACTGTCGAAATCAGTTCAGCCGTTCTCGACATATAAGAGATCTTTCAAGCATATCTTCTTTGATAGACATATATATCGCACATATTTTGCTATATATCCGATTTGTTGGATGTTAACATCAATGTAAAGATCAGAAGTAACCTTGTCATGGCTTTGTGAGTTCGCCGGGATTTAAAATATTCGCGGTTTAATGAAAATTTTTGCATTTTTTCAACACAAAAGATATGGTCTATTTTACCCGCTAAATATTATCCGATGACCACCCAAATTGGTAGGCTTCTTCCCCGCCCTAAACTCCAACTACATGCGAAGTTCCGCGTCGATTAGTCTATAATTGCGACCTGTATAGCTACTGCAAAATCCGACATTTTTTCAGTTTTTGGTCCATTTCGACCCTTAAATATTATGCGATCATCATCAAAAGAAATAGGGTTCTATTCTGACCTTAGCCCCACCTCCATTCTAAATTTCGTGAAGATCGAGCCATAATTGCGACCTGTAGCGTGATTACAAATTAACATGGACAGACGGACGGACGGACATACATAGCTAGATCGACTCAGCTCGGCGAGCTTGGAAGATCCATATATACTTTCCTATGTGGGAAACCAATATTTCGTGGTGTTACATAATTTTTGGCCCAATCAAACTTATAATACCCCCAACACATAGTGTTGTAGGGTATAAAAATTCAAAAACAAAAAATATATATATTGAAATATTAGTTCAATTTAAAATCGAAAAAAATAAACAAGCCAAAAAATGTAAGCAGGAAATTAGAATTTGCAACCCAAAGATATATGCAAAATATTCTAAGAAAAGATACATGATAAATGAATGGAAGAAGGAAATGATGAGCTGATTGAGAAATGAATCGAATGGTTAAGTAAAAATCATCTACAATAACTAAACGAACTTTTACTTTTATACAAAAGAACACGAAATTTACAAATCGAAACAATTGATGGACTTACGTTGACTAGACGTTGCAGGGTGGCCACATAGGAATTTTCACTGTGCACAATGGCCGATACTATGTGACGACGTTTCAACTGCTGTTGAGAGAGGCCGGGTGGTGCTGGTGGTAGCATGGGCTGTACCAAACGCTGGTGAGCGGTGCGGGCAGTGCCGTTGGCACGACTGCCCGGTGGTATCATAAAATCCAAATCGAATCTTGAGGTCGATGTGGTCAATGATGCCATGTCGTCATCATCGTTCTAAAAAAATAGGTACAAATCAAAAATTAGCAATGATGAGAAAAAAAATTATTTAAATTCTGAATTTGTAATTTAATATTTTATAATTTAAAATTACTTATTTTTAAATACATTTATATATGTTTATTTCTCTTTCTGTATGAGCTCAGAGAAGCCTGAAAGTGTCTCTGGATTTTCCTTTCATTAAAAGTTTTAGTTTATTGAGCTCATTCCCAAAGATAACGAAACAAATAATAGGCCCATTAAGATAAATACCGTTATCTAGCGGAGACATAAACCACTCTGTAACAGAGCCATTAACAGAGCAATGTTAAACTTAACAGAGCATACAGAAAATTATTTTTTTAAAAATTCCATTTTCTAATGTTAAGTCATCAAAGAAGTTATTTTTTTTTATGATAAATAACAACTATAGCTTTAATTAAAAAAATTTATGAAAAATTTATTATGCCAATGGATAGTACTCTTAGTAAGCTTTCCACTGATGTGCATATCGGATTGGAAGAATTGTCCTGGAAGGCATATTGGCCAATGGAATTATCCTGTTAAAAGGATTTTTCCAGAAATAGCCAAATACCTCGGAATCTGTCGGATTGACCCACAATTTTTATTATGCCCATGGATAGTACTCTTCATAAGCTTTCCATTGATATGCATTTTGTATTGGAAGAATTGTTTTAAAACGTAGTTTATCTAATGCCAATGTCCTGTCACATATTGTGCAACTGCAAGTTAGTGGGTACCAGTAGCAAGACAGCTTTTCATAAATTTTTTTAATTAAAGCTATAGTTGTTATTTATCATAAAAAAAAATAAGTTCTTTGATGACTAAAAATTAGAAAATGGAATTTTTAAAAAAATAACAATTTTCTATATGCTCTGTTAAGTTTAACATTGCTCTGTTAATGGCTCTGTTAACAGAGTGGTTTATGTCTCCGCTAGATAAATACGGTATTTATCTTAATGGACCTACAAATAATATCATTAACAATTGCATTCAAGGCAAATTCAAAAATAATATGCATTTTTTTTCAAAATAATTCCTCACCTCTGGCACCCCAGGCATTTTACACGCAGATTTTGATGTATTCGCTGAATTTGTTGAGTTAATTTTCTGTGGCGATCCAATGCTCGAATCACATGTCGAATCGGGTATATCAATACTGGACGAGTTCGAGTGTCGACCATCACGACCGCCCACATCATACTGATGCGACGAACCGCGACGTATCGAAAACCATCGCGACAAACGACCACCCGGCGATTCACCGGGCGTTGTTATATCCTCTCTGGGTGGCTGATGGGCGGTAGGCATTGTGGCACAACTTGTACTGGCACGACGCGTCAATGTTCCTCCTCCGCCGCCGCCGCTGCTACTGTTGCTACTTATCGTTGAATTACTACTGCAGCTGTTATTATCAGCCGGTGAATTTTGTGAATTTGTTGAGCGCCATTTGTCAAAGGACAGATGCTGTTTGGCCCGATTGAATGTGGAACGCAATTGGGAATTGCGTTGATTTGTGGCACTCAGTGATGACGTCACGCTGCCGTTTATTTCTTCCTCGTGATTCAACTCTTCGTCTTCCGAAGAGCTGTTAAGTGGTGGCGGTATAGGTGAGATAGTTTGGAATTCGCTGGTCACTGCGTCGCCACCACCACCGCCAAGCAAATGATCTGAGGTGGTATTCGGTGATGTTTGGGCACCACCGCCACAACCAACGGCAGTCGATCCGCCGTTGGCGTTAAAACTACCGCCAGCTATTGTGTTGCCGGTAACAGCAGCTCCCTGAATAGTGAGCTGCTGATGTTGTTGTAGTTGCTGTTGCTGGTGGTGTTGTTGTTGTTCTAAGGCCGCTTCTCCACAGCGGCTTATGGCACTTGTTGTTGTGTTTGTTGAATGTTGTTGCTGACTATTTTGTTGACCTGTTGGCTGATGTTGTTGTTGTTGATGTGGGTGATGATGGTGTTGCTGTTGATTTTTTCCTGCTGCCAGTGGAGGCTGTATTAATAATGGTTGTAAAGCGTTACGTCCTGTTGCCAACGTATCAGGACGTCTCGGATTATTTGTGGTATTATGAAGTTGTGCTGTGGTTGTTGTATTGCCGTTATTGGCACTTTGTGATAAATTTTGATTGGCGTTATTATTGTGGGTCGTCGCTGTAACGGCAGTGGGTAATGGATCCTCCCATGAGCCGGAATTTAATTTCGATTCATCTACAAAAAATAGAAAAATGAAGGAAATTGTTAAAAAAAATCATTTTATAAGAGTACAAATAATAACAATAACCGTAGAGATAAAATCTATTTTACAGACCCTTTTGTAACATTTCAAAACTTTGGGGTCTTTTTGAAGGCCTCGTTAACACTGAAGACCTTCTAAAGGATCTCGATTTAAGAAAAAATGTATGTCCATAAAACAAATAGATCCATAAAACTCGCCCCCCCCCCACAGAACTCCAACGAAGGTCCCATAATTTTTCTATAATTACAAATTAGGGAAATATTAATTGAGTAATTAATTCCTTTTGCAACTAGGGGTATGTAGTTTGGAGTCAAATTCTACCTTTAAACTTTTGCCTTCGGAAAAAAGACTTCGTTTCAGTCCTTTTTTTAAGCAATGAGCTAAAAATTGTTCGATATTCAAAATCGACTTAAATTCAATTCGATAGTTAACTTTCATTTAGTAGTTTTACATTACTAAACAAATTCAAAATAAGACAAAAACAAAGTAAATCATTGCATACTTTTTGGCGTGTATGAACATTTTAAGTCGTCATCAAACTTTTAGATTTTTCAGCACTAAAGTCAAGTTTACACAACATGTCGTATGTTAAGTGACTTTTTATCATTGATATATCGTATTTTATAGCATATTTTACAGCGCAGCAATTTTATAAATCAAAACGAGCGATATATATTTTTTATATACGGATAGATCTTCCGAAAGATTTATACATACTATATACCAAGATAGGCGCCTTTTATACCCAAGAAATCGTCTAAATATTTTTCATTGCCATATGATCATCTACTTGTCTCTTAAAGGTGAAATACCCTCTGTACGCCTGACAGGTGTGCCTACTTGATTTGTGACATTTATGGTTATAATTTATTCCATTATCATAATGACAATCTAAATTATCTACACAATCATTTATCCATTTAGCCAATGCCATCAATTTTACTTAAAAATAGACAACAATCAATAAAAATTAAAAAATCATTTACATATGTCATCTCTGCACAAACACACACACACATTTGTTTTTGTGCACACAACTCGACGACCTGACTTTGGTCATTACGAATATTTTTTTTTTTTTGAAAATGCAAACAAATATCACATTGGACTAATGAAAATCGATTGATATCGATAACCAAAAGCAACAAGCCAGCAACAAAAACAACAAATATAAATCAAACGTATAAACAAACCTCCTAGTAGTGCCCAAATCTATGCAAATCTCTATCAACCGGCTACGAGGTTTTCAACTGAGCTGTATGCCTGCATGTATGTTCGTTTATTTGTGTTGACATTATAACACTTTTATGTGCCATCGTTAATAGTAAAGCTTACACTGGCATCAAAAAGCAGTTGGCCTAGGCGTATGAAGTGAATGAAAGCAGCAACAAAATAACAACAAAAAACCATCATCAGTAAAATAAATAATATCGAATGGAAATTGTGAATATACACAGGAACAAATCGATTAATCATTTCAACAGTTGGGACACAAAAAAAAAGAACGTTGTATGCCCACACCCAAAATATTTGAACACACACACTCACCCATTTACACACAACATTAGAAGACATATGGTTGTATTTGAAAAGGATGTTGGAATAATGATCGCACAGTGTTTCAGAAATCAAATTTACTGCCAACGAGGGTAATGGTATGCATATACATCATGTTAAGAAAATTCAAGCAAAAAAAAAAAGTTTTAAAAAAATAATTTTTGTATGTAGAATTTAGTGAAAAAAATCAAAAAAAAAAAACTTTATGTGAAAAAACTATGATTTACAAAAAAGTTCCGTAGGGACCTTTTCACACGGCCGTGAAGTTCAGAACTGTCACTCATCGGAGGGTTACAGTCATATAAAAAGTGATTTTTTTTCAAATAATAGTTAGTAATTGTAGTTAATATTTTTACAACATACCTTAAGGCGCATCACACTATTTTTTAAAGAAAATGTTTTGTAGTACATATGTATAAATTAATATAGTTATAGTAATGTATGTATAAACATAACAAAGGGTAATTTTTTGGCCATTATCCTTTTGGCAACACTGCCAGAAGCATTGACATGCATCCAGTCACATTTTGGTGTATTTTATGGGCTCGTAGTATCATTGGAGCGTACTTCTTCAATGATGCTGAGATGATATTCAACTTTTTTTTCACAAAATGCAAGAGCTCGTCTTGCATGATATGTGGTTTAAACAAGACGGTGCCACGTGCTACACAACACGTATAACAATGGATTTATTGAGCGTTGAGTTCGGAAAATGTTTTGGCTGCCTTTAGATTATTTTTTGTGGGGCTATGTTAAAGCTCACGTCTATACAGCAGAACCCGATCCCATTGACACACTGAAAGTCAATATTGTAGCATTAATTCGTGAGATATCGGGCGAAATATTGGAAAGAGTATGTCAAAATTGGATTTAGCGAATCGGATTTTATGTGAAGTCGACAATAACTTTTGCATGAAATAATCTTCAAACATTAAATTTTATGGACCGAAATATTAATTCAAATATATATTTTTCTGAATTTTATGTAAGTACTATAATGTATAATTATTGTATACCAGTAAATAATTGTTTGCGGTTCCGAAAAGACGACATTTTCACTTGTCTTATTCAAGTGAAAGTTATGAAAGAGTTTTCATTAACTCTGTCTTATGTCTTGAGAGGAAATGTATAATTTCATGTGGTCCTCATCGAAATAACGTTTTTAGATCCTTGGTCGCTTTGTGCGAAATCCGCTTAAGGAATTACTAGTACTTCTTCAATTAAACGTTTAAAATATTGAATAGCTTGCTTAAAATTGGGAATCGATGTATGTTTTGCTTCAAAATTTTCACATGCTAATATTTTGTCTAATGTTAGAGCTAAGAATAAAAAGAAATTTATTGGTCCCCACAAAATTTAAAAAAAAGTAAAAAAAAAACTAAACTTGGAAAATCGTAATATTTAGATAAGACATCGATCATTATCGAACATGACTAAAATTGGTACTCTGTTACTCTCCCAGAAAATGTTCCCTTAATTTTCGATTTTATTAAATTTTTATATCCCAATATTTTATCCATATTAGAACTAGTGAGAAAGTGAAATATATCGGTATCTCCGTACGAAAAATCAAAAATTTTGAAAGAAGATACACATGCAAAACCATTCGTCGATATAGCCCAAACATGATCCGTGGTAATAATTATAATAGGCACAGGTGAGGGGCGATCAATATAAGCCCACTGCTTCTCGTTCTCTCTTCCCAAAAGGTAAACATTTTGAATAATTATAACACTATTTAAATGTGAAATCAGTTTTCGATTTTCTTCAATCTTCACACATTCCAATTAGAGCTCATTAGATCTCGCTTGAATTTAACAAATAATTGTTATAATTTTCATGAAATGCGAAAATATCCTTCGCAATTTGGATGACTTGTACCAACATTGGATCTAATGTAAGGATGGGATTTGTAGATCCAATTTTTTGATCAGTTACCCAAAATGCAAATGCAAACTAGTAATCCAATGCAAAGGATATATATCTGGGTATTGGAAAACCGACAAAACATTTTAAAATATTTTTTTAATAAGTAATTTTTACTAAAAAGCCGAGAACAATCACAAGGCAAATTTTAAAATAACAAAAAAAGTTGCCAAAATTGCCAAATTTCGACCAGAAAAGAACTATTCCGAATCACTATGGTAAGGCCAAATATTGCTGCAAAATCTCTTCTATTTTTTTAATTCTATGAAAAAAAAAACCTTAAAAATATGTTGTTCAACATATCATACTTCCGATCTATGTATGTATGTCCCATAAAATACCCTCATTCATAAATCAAGATGTTGAAGACATTTTGGAGCCACAACATCATTTGTATGTCACTAAGACCAGTCACCTCAACGCCAACTCCAAAATCCACAAAAAATTGAAAACAAATAAATTTACGCCATAGTTTCCTTGGCGTCCACCAAAACTCAGTATGCGATGTATGACTAGCATACAAACATAGTGATCTAATTTCTTCCAAGAATTGATGGAGAGAAAAAATAAACTTCAAATCCATAAATTAGAAAGAACATGTATGCATGCAATGTGATGGCATGGTTTCAATTGGTTTGGCTTGCAACAACATACGACAAAAAAGGGCTCAAACCAAGTCAGACTAGATAAATAAAAACGAATGAGAGAGACTAACAAGGCAACCAATGAACAAACATCTCTGGCACAAAAAAATGAAGTAGAAGAAGACGGGAACTAGGTTCCCTTTGAGTTTATCTTTAATCTAAGAACACAAACTGCACACACACACAGAGAGAAGAAGGAAATGGCAAAAAAGAAGACAAATTTAAAGATAGAAATGCAGACGCCTACATTTAAACTGTGGCAAAGGCAAAAAGTCAGTCAGCCAACCAGCCAGACAGTCTTGGGAGATTACAGCTAGGAGAAAAAATCCAAGCATTTTATATAGAAATAAAAGCAAACATGGCGTAGAGAATGCGTTGCAGCATATTGTATATATGAATATGTGTGTTGGATTTTTCTGTCTATATATAATATATATTTATGCGACAAAGTCATATCCTGCTGATAATAACATACATATAAAAAAATATCATGCAGAGAATATAGAACCATCAACACATGTTTTCAATTATTTGCCATGTTACATGTCTGGCGAGGGAGGATTTGAAAATTCGGGAAATAGTGTTTTTTTTTTGTCGATTAAACTTTACATTGGTATAAGGTTAATAATAATTTATACACCAGGAAGAAATTACCTTAAGTCAATTGTGCTCATAATATACGGGGTAATATGAAGATACTGCAACCAACTTTAAACTGCTGTCTGTCTAACACTCGTCCAACAGCTGTTAAAATTATTCCAGTAATAGCTCATTATATTGTTTACTAGCGTACAAAAGCATTTTGGTGAGGATTGTCCAGAAAAAAAATTATTCGTGATGGATTT